ATATATATATGAAAATGATCCTGTGAGCCAGTCGGCTCACAAGTAAAGATGAGCCCAACAACCCAAATTGAATTTGGGCTATCTAATGATTACAGATGTCCAGTAGTGTTTGAATTTTAATTCTTTTATCAACAAATCCAAATCACTTGAAATTTAAAACGTCAGTTCTTCTCATCAAGCCGCACCTAAAAAAATAATCCGCAAAAAACCCATTAAACCCTTCCACTCACGAGGATAATAATTTGGGAGAGTCTCCCAATTACAATCACACATATAAATAGAAAGAAAAGAGATTCACTAAGTAGAGTACAGAGAGAAAGCTTATATCAAAGAGAGAAGAGTAGGGAAAAAGAAAGTTTTGAAGAGGGGGAAAAAGGCAGAGCGGAGCGAGGAGCTGAGAGCAAGAAGAGGACTCTGCACTAGGGAGTGCCTTGGTCTTCCTTATATAGAGGGGGCATGCCAAATTCATTTAATTGGATTGGAATGTCCAACTCCTGGAGGATAAGCTGTAAAAGAAAAGATGCCTTTGGTCTGGATAGGTGGCGATCATGATTTGATGTTGTCGAAGAAAAGTAGATCGAGAATCTACTTTTACTATTTACTTTTGTCTTGATATGATGTGATATGACTTTATACTATTTACTTTTCTATCTTTTATGTCGGTGCTGTATCTTTATGTCTTCTCATGGCGACAGGTGGGCTTCCGAGGAAATCTTCACTATTGGATAGATTTGATTGCTAGCGTGTCGACGATAAGAAGGAATTTTTTTGACATTTGATAAGACGGCTACTCGGGTCGGGCCATGTTTAGTAAAGAGATGGTTTTTGTGACATCCCATGGGCCGACTGTTCTTCTAAATCTGGTTTTGCTGAGGTTGATTCTTCTTGAACTGTCTCAATTTCTTCTGAAAATATCTTTAGTAGCTCTTTTTCAAGTTCGGCTTTTGTTGCCTATGGGTTCTTTCTTTTCATCATAGATATATATTCAGAAAGATTATTTGGGTTGTCTGATGGAGTTGATATATTATCTAGTGGTATTTGTTTAAGGATAATATTACTAGGCTCAAGTTGGTGATAGACAAAGACGTCTCACCATTTTATAGATATTTGTTTTCCCAAACATGTTATATAATGGTAATTGTTGGTTATATTGGGAGAAATTGCATATTGCCATTTGAGTATCCATGGTATCTGGTATAATGCAACAAAATACATATGATAATTTATATTGGGATTGCTCCCATTAAATTCTATGAAAGTGTCTTGAGAGGTTTGCAAGGTTGTGGGCATTATTTGGGTTCTGGATCCCCATATCATGAACCAGTCCTTGAACCAGTTAGGAAATGGGTATGTTATTGGGAGTTTGAACTCTAAGAACCAAGTATAACAATAGTATTGGTTTTGAATAGTGAGAATCTTATGCCAAGCTTTTATATATTCTGAATATCTAAAATGTTTATTTGGGAATTCTGGGGATATTAATCTTTTTGCCCTTAATGGATCAGAGCCCTAGTCATGAAAATATAATATCTTTCTTATCATTAATTTTGAATATGATATTGTTCTGGAATTCTTTTGGTAGTAGTGTGCAATAGTGACTGATCCTGTTTCAAGTAGTATCATCTCCAACCATTCTCTGGTTTTGATACCAAGAGAAGGATTAAGATTATTGCAAAGCAAATGTCTGGCTAGAATATTTGGGTCTTCAGGCATTTGATTATTTTCTATAATGATGTCATCAATAAAAGCGGTTGCTTCATATTGAGATTTGGTTGTTGCTTTTCTTGGGACAGAGGATTGTAAAAATAATGGTATTCGTGGAGAGAAATTGGAGGAGGTTGGCTTGAGCATATGGGATACACTGGACTATTTGGGTCAGATGGAGAATATGGTACCAGAGTTCTTGTTGGTGATGGTGAAGTATTGGGTGAATTGGCTGGGATTATATCCATTGGCATATTGCCTCTGTTGGTATCCATATTTTTATTTGTATTAAATAATTGAAGCCCTAAAGATAATTCGGCTGGGTCAGAGTGGTCTGTTTTGCCCCCTTGCAAAAATTCTCGTGTCAAAAAATCAGGTAGAGCATTAGAAATACCTGTAAGATGTTCAATGGTAAAATCAAAGGCAGATAAGATAGCTTGCCATTGAGCAAAGATCTGTTTGGATACTAAATTTTTCATATCTTTAACAAGAACGTCTTTTGCAGCTTTACAGTCAGTACGAATAAGAAATGAAGAATTAAGAATATCCCCTTGAAATTTGGTTACACAATGTACTATGGCTAAAATTTCCTTTTTTACAGTAGAGTAATTTTGTTGTGTAGGGTTCCAAGCCTTTGAAGTGTATCTGACTAATTGCTCTTTATCATTAACTCTTTGTTTTAATATTCCACCTAGTCCTAATTCTGATGCATCACATTCAATGATTTTAAAAGCTTCTGGGTCTGAAAGACATAGACAAGTTAATTCTTTAGATTTTATTTTGAGTTTCTTAACAGCAGTAGTATGGATATCTGTCTATGGAGGAGGATTCTTTTTTAATCTATCATATAAAGGTTTTGCGTCTATTGCCATATTTTTGTAAAAGTCTACAATGTAATTAAGACATCCTAAAAATCTTTGTAATTTCTTTTGTCTAAGATTATGTCTGGGAATTTATCAGCAAATTGTATTGACTTTCGATTGATATTATAGTTCCTTGGGATATATGATGTCTTAAAAATCTAATTTTTGTTTGAAATAAACTTATCTTTTTTGCAGATATGGCTAGTCTTGAGTGTTTTACTGCAGTTATAAAAGCATTGATATGTTTTATATGTTGAGGTATATTTTCGGAGAAGATTAATACATCATCAATATAGACTATCATAAACTTCATATAAGGATTAAATACATCATTCATTATCCTTTGAAATTCTGATGGAGCATTGTTTAATCCAAATGGCATAACATTTCATTCATATTGTCCAAAAGGGACATTAAAAGCAGTTTTATACTTATCTTCTTCTTTTATCTGTATTTGCCAATCTAGATTTTAAATCAAATTTAGAAAAGAAGCATGCATTTATTAGCCTATCTAACAAATCTTTTTTGTTAGGTATCGGATATCTTATCCATTGGAGTGCTTTATTTAAGGGTTTATAGTTTATGACTAATCTGGGTACCCCTCTTTCTTTTTCAGCATTTTTATTCACATAAAAAGCAGCACAACTCCAAGGAGAAATACTGGGTCTAATTAATCCTTTAGATATCAATCCATCAATTTCTTGTTTGCAAAATTCCAATAATTTAGTATTCATCTGTATAGGTCTCGCTTTTGTTGGTATTTGAGATTCATGAAAGCCAGATTCGTATGGTAGACTTACAATATGTTTTTTCCTTGTCCAAAAGGCATTTGGTAAACATATATTTGTTTCTATTTGTTGAGTAATATTTTTTATTTGTTCTTTTGTTTCATCTGTTTGTAGTTGTTGATCTATTGTTTTATATTTAATTTCTTCTTTAAGAGAGCAAATAAAATTTTCTTTTTGTTTTATATTATCTTTTACTCTATTTATTTCCTTTAATTTAGGTTTATCTACAAATTCAAATATTATTGGTTCTCCTGCTATAGTAGTTTCTAGCCCTCTATGAGTTACAGTTATGGGATATAGTAAAGTAAGAAAATGAACTCCTAAAATTACAGCTTGACTAAGCCCTTTAACCATTATGCATGGAATAAGGAAACAATGTTCATTATTGCATACTGTTGCATTGGATAATTTATATTTGATTAATAATCTACTACCATCAGCAGTGTTTAGAATTTGTTATGTTTTATCAAAATATTTTGTTGCTACTAAACCTTCATTTATACAATTAAGGTCTGCGCCTGAATCAACTAAGGATAGAGTTTGAAAGGTGTAATCATAATTAATTATTATTTTGACTAATATAAATCATTTTTGGATAATAATTTTATTGATAAGATTTACTGATGTATTATCTATTTCTTTATTTCCTGAGGATTCAGGTTCATCTGATTGATTAATTAGTTGTTCAAATTCTATTTCATCAGTATCTGTAATAGTTCCTGTTACTTCATTTTGTAATTCTAATATTTTAATTTTATCTTTTAATTGATGAATTTCTGTTTTGACTTTCTAGATTTCTTTTTGTAATTCTCCTATTGTAGGGTCTTTTTTAGTTATATCTTTTATATTGATTCTTTTAATAATATCAGCAAAGTTATATTCATCAGGGGTTTTTAATAGAGGAAGAGGTTTATTTTTAGCTTTCGTAATATTTATGAATTGTATTATAGTCTCTCTTTTTTCTTCGAGATCTGAAATTTTCTCTATTAAATCTAGAATAAGTGTATCTTTCTTAGATAACATATTGCAAGAGCAATCTTGCATTTCTTGATCTGATTCTTCTGTACTATTCCATATAAGGTTTTCATCTTCTATATTTCCTATTAATGAATTATTACTAGAATTATTAGAAGAGCTTGTTTCAGAACTATCATCATATATTTTATTTCTGATATTTTCATTTAGAATTAATGAGTCTATTTTCTTTTTTAGTTTACAATTACTTTTATAATGGCCTATTTTACCACATCGATAACATATAGGTAGTTTTTTCTTTCCTTTTTTATAGTTTTGTTTTGGTATAAACCTTTTTATGAATTTTTCTCTCCGTTGTTTCTTATAAGGATTGTATAATTTTTTATCATTTCTTTATATTTATATTTTTTCTTTTTATGACTTTTCTCATTTGTGTTTTGAATATGATATCCAAATTATTCACAAAAATCATCTAATTCTTTTCGTTCAGTCATTTTTTGTTTATCCAACTGTTTTTTCGATTTCATATCTGTACATAAGGCTAATCCTTCTGCACATATTTCTGCAGAGAGTTCTCCTATAGTATATACTGAATATGGGATGATTCCTCCTTTTTTATTTTTTAATCTATTTTTAACTTTTTCAGCAAATAAGTATGGTAATCCTACTATAAACTTTTCCTTCCAATGATCCAATTGACTATCTTCTCTGGTTAATAACCTTGAGAAAATACATCCTCATATCATTTATAATGTAATAGGGTTGGACATTTTAAATTTGATAATAAATCTTCAGTTCGTGCTTCTAATAGACCTGTACTCCCCACAAAATGTAAAGTGATGGTATGAATAAGAGTATTAACAGCATCACTTTCAGAGTATAAAATATCTTGTTGCTGTTCATTTTTGATAGTCCATTGACGGGTAGTATTTAATATTTGATTCTTTGTATTTTCAGGGAGATGAAAATCCCACCAACCTCGTAACCAACCAGTAAATCCACAAACTATGGCTTTGGCTACTTCTTGGTCATGGTTGCCTACCATTTTACATGCAGAGGCATACATGGTCATATGTTTCATGGTGTCAAGTATCTGAAGTTCTGACATACCATCAATACACCAATTGACTATGGTTCTTCCAGAATAAGAGGTTGTATGTGATATGAGATCTTCTTCAAACTGAATATCTACCGGGGTAGGTTTAGGATAATAAGGTCTAGCGGTAGCAGGTTTCCAATTTTTTCCATAAGCTATCCTTTGAATTGCTGGACTATTTATTTGGTTTTCTCTAAAAGCAGTTTCCATGTTTTCTATTGAATCAAGTATAACAGGTTCTTCTATTCCTTAGGTTAGGGCATCTGATCCTTTTATTATAATTTTACTTTTACCTTTTCCTTCTATATTAGTATCCTTAATATCTAATTTAGCTAATTGAGATATTAATTGATCCATTTAAGTTTTATTATTTTCTCCTATATGAAATTTTCCTTTATTTAAACTAGGAGGTGGTTTAAATAATACAGATTTTTTAGATTCTTGTATGGGTACTGGTTTTAACATATTTTCTATTCTCAAAGTTTCTTTTCCAATGGATGAGTATAGTTATTTTGTTCTATGATATGTCGAATTAATTATGTACGTTGAACTATTTCTCCGGTTGTCATTTTATAAGGAGTGGCTTTTGTTTCAAGTGTAGGAATATTTTCCTTTTCTTTTCCCTTTATAATAAGGCTTTTTTCTGGGGGATGTACACTTGTTAACTTTATTCCTTCTGGTGTATCATAAGTCTTATATTGACTTTCTAATGTATTTATTTCAAAGTTTGGAATGGATATATTTCTTTCTTTTAGTATTTCTTTAACCAGATAAAAAATGTCGTATTTTGTTTTTCCTGTTTTAGGAATTTATTATATTTTTTATGGAATAATTCTACAAATCTATGTTCAAATCTTGTTCTATACCATTCTCTTATTCCCTTATTTTCTTTTGATAAATAGTCTGCTTCTATATGGGCTTTATTTACTTTTCTTTCTTCTATTAATACCATTATATGTAAGTCCCTTTCAGAGTCAGAATATTCTGAATCTTCTTTAGCTTCTTTTGCCTCAGGTTTGTAATATTGTAGTATTAATATATTATTTCTAGTTCTTAATAATCCTTGTATTGGTGGTCTAGATGAACTGGAAGCAGAAGAATGTCTTGATGATTCAACTGTTTTTTTTTTTTTCTAGATCATCATCATTTTTAAATTTTAGTATTCTATTTGATCCTGCAAACTTTATTTCTATATTACCATCTATATGTTCCATAATTTTAGCAGGAATATTATTTACTGGGGCTTGGTAATGAATGTTTTCATTTTGGATTGACCAAGCTTCTGGTAGTCTTATTTCTGACCACTTTATGGTTTTTGGTATTATCATATTTGATTTTTCAATATTGGTTTGGAATCGAATAGTTTTTCCTTTTGTATCCATTTGAATAACCTTTGGGCTTAAAGTGTTCATAACTTTGTAATATATTCTATATATTACTGCTATATTTTGTGATCCTTGAATCATGTCAAATCCTTGAGTATTGATATTTAATGTTAAAACATTTAATATATTTTGATCATTTAACGAAACTGAGTAATTTGGAAAACAGTTAATATACATAGGTCCGTTACATAAACTAGATTCTACCATACCTATTAATGAATCATTAAATTTATTATGCATAGTGTCTCTAAGACAAACTAATATTGAATTATTGAGTCCTAGTCTTGTTAAAGGTTTAATTGCTACTTGAATGAGTCCTATATGTAAATAATTATAATTTTTAGTTTTATGTGCCTGTATTACTTTATTAGAT